CCGGGAAAGACGGTAGCGTTACGTTACACTATCCAATGCTCACGAAGATGAACTACGCGGTGTGGGCCATAAAAATGCGAGTGAATTTACAAGCACAAGGAGTATGGGATGTAATTAAAAATGCAGAAACGGACGAACGTAAAGATCGGATGGCTCTTGTGGCTATTTATCAAGCAATTCCAGAGGACGTACTTCTGATGTTAGCTGAGAAGGACACAGCTAAAGAAGCATGGGAAACGCTCAAGATGATGCACATGGGAGCCGATCGGGTCAAGGAGGCTAAAGCTCAAACCTTGAGAAGTGACTTCGAGGTGATCCGGATGAAAGACAGTGAATCGGTAGATGATTTTTCCATGAGATTGAATACTATCGTAACCGGTATTCGATCTCTAGGTGAAAAGATTGAAGAAATTACGGTTGTGAAGAAGTTTTTGCGATCCGTACCGATACGATTTATACAAATCGTAACATCGATCGAGCAATTCGGAGATTTGAAGAATATGACGGTGGAAGAAGTTGTGGGTCGTCTTAAGACCCATGAAGAGAGACTTCGAAGCTATGGAGAAAAAGAAGAAGGACCTTCTCTATTGCTTACACATGCCGAGTGGGCATCTCATTCGAAGCAAACTGGCGAGAGAAACTCGTCAAACACTTCAAGAGGACGAGGAGGACATGGTAACCGAGGCCGTGGACGAGGCCGAGGTCGTGGACGTGGCCAAGGAGGTGGTCGCGAGTACAATACAAATCGGAATGACCATAATCCTTCTCAAAAGGATAAATGTAAAATCAAATGCTTTACTTGTGAACAATTTGGTCATTATGCTTCGGAGTGTCCAAACAAGAATCGAGGTGAGGAGGCAAACCTCACTCAAGCCAACGAAGAAGAGCCTATTTTAATGATGGCAACCTCACAAGAATATGCACACAAAAAAGTGTCTCTAAGAGAGAAGATTTGTGTTAATCTTCTTGCATCGGGAGAAAGTCGAGTCGAGTCTGAGGTATGGTATCTCGACAACGGTGCTAGCAATCACATGACTGGAGACCGCTCAAAATTTCGCGAACTAGATGAGCACGTTACGGGCCATGTGAAATTTGGGGATGGTTCGACCGTCGCTATTTTGGGAAAAGGGTCGATTTTATTCGATAGCAAAAATGGCGACCAAAGACTCCTTAATGAGGTATATTTCATTCCAAGTCTAAAAAACAATATTATTAGTTTTGGACAAATGACTGAGGAAGGGAGTCGGGTCATAATGGATGGGTCGGATCTGACATTGTTTGACAGAAACAAAACTCTACTTTTGAGAGTTAAACGATCCCCAAACCGGTTATATAAAACTCCTTTAAGGACCGGTAGACCGACTTGTCTTTTAGCAACAAAAGACGAACCAGCTTGGATATGGCATTCTAGACTCGGTCATGTTAACTTTCTCGCCTTAAAGAAGTTGTCTGAAAAGAATATGGCAATCGGAGTCCCAAAGATTGAGCACCCAAACCAAGTATGTGAAGGGTGCGTTCTTTCCAAACAAACCCGAATTCCTTTCCCGGATCATGCAGTTTTTCGGGCTCAAAAACCTCTACAACTTGTTCATGCGGACTTATGTGGTCCGATCACACCTACGTCTGTTGGAGGGAGTAAATATTTTCTCCTTTTAGTAGACGATTTTAGCCGGTGGATGTGGGTTTACATGCTATCGGAGAAGTCTCAAGCCTTGAGCGCTTTCAAACGGTTCAAGTTGATGGTTGAAAAGAATTCGGGTTATAAAATAAAGACACTTCGAACGGACCGAGGGGGAGAGTTCACTTCAAAAGAATTCTCATTATTTTGTGAAGAAAATGGTATTCAAAGGCATCTTACGACACCATATTCGCCTCAACAGAACGGAGTTGTAGAAAGGCGAAATCGGACCGTTATGGACATGGCAAGAAGTCTGCTCAAAGGTAGAAATGTTCCGGGAGAGTTTTGGGGAGAAGCGGTTAGACATGCAGTTTATCTTCTCAACCGCCTGCCAACAAAAGTACTTCCCGACAAGACGCCTTATGAAACGTGGTTTGGCAAAAAGCCCAACCTTGAACATCTAAAAGTTTTTGGTTGTGTTGCTTTTGCTAAACTTGTAGGTGGTCACTTGAAGAAGCTTGATGATCGAAGTAAGAAGATGGTGTATTTAGGTGTGGAAGATGGAACTAAAGGCAACCGTTTGTTTGATCCGCAAGACCGAAAGTTGCGAGTTAGTCGCGATGTTGTTTTTGACGAAAAAGAAGAATGGAATTGGTACAAAAACAAAGAAGAAGAGATGGCGACTCCTAAGACCTTTACCATAATTGAACCACAACCCCAAATACACCTCGAAACACCTCAAAATGACCCCGAAATCAATCCGGAACAACCAAACAGCCCAGGAATCGATGCTATCCAAGTTGGACAACCATATGTTGAATTTAACGAGCCTGAACCAGCTCCACATACTCCTGTCTCAGCCCCGTTTTCTTCAACCTCGCCCCATATGGAAAGCCCTTCTAGTGAGATTGGGCCAAGGGGATTGCGTCCGTTAACCGATATTTATTCTGAAACCGAAAATGTGTTCCTTGAACCCGGAGAATTGTTGATGATTGCAGCGGATCAACCCTTGAATTTTAAAGAGGCGGTAACCTCTAAGGCATGGCAGGAGGCTATGCAAACAGAGTTGGATGCAATCGAGAAGAACAAGACATGGCAACTTACCGATTTGCCATCCGGACACAAAGCAATCGGTTTGAAATGGGTGTTTAAAGTGAAGAAAGACAACTTGGGAAAAGTGGTGAAGCATAAAGCTCGACTTGTAGCAAAAGGATTTGTACAAAAGGAAGGAGTCGACTTTGATGAAGTTTTTGCACCGGTAGCACGACTTGACACCGTAAGGCTCATTCTTGCCTTAGCAGCTCAACATGGGTGGGTTGTCCACCATCTCGATGTCAAATCGGCTTTTCTCAATGGAGATCTCAAAGAGGAGGTTTATGTCACCCAACCAGAAGGATATGTTGATAAAGCAAACAGTCACAAGGTGTTCAAGCTTTATAAAGCTCTTTATGGTCTACGACAAGCTCCTCGAGCTTGGAACATTCTTTTGGATAAAAGCTTAAAAAGGCTTGGTTTTACAAAAAGTTCACAAGACCCAGCTGTTTACAAAAGGAACTCAAAAGACAAAATTCTTATTGTTGGTGTCTATGTTGATGACTTGATCATTACCGGGTCGAACACTAATGATGTTGTCGAATTCAAAGAACAAATGAAGAAAAAATTCGAAATGAGTGACTTGGGATTACTTTCTTACTACCTTGGAATCGAAGTTTCGCAAAAGAAGTGGGGAAGATTTTAGAGCAATTTGGGTTGCTGGATTGCAATCCGACAACGTCACCAATGGAACCTAAGTTGAAGGTTAAGAAGGATGAAGATGGTGAAAAAGTTGATCCAACTGAATATAGGCGAGTGGTAGGTTGTTTGAGGTACTTGACTCACACTCGACCGGACTTGTCATTTTCAGTTGGAATTGCAAGTCGTTTCATGGAGGAACCAACCACTTTACATTTCCAAGTTGTGAAACACATCTTGCGATACGTAAAAGGAACTGTTGATTATGGAATCAACTATGGAAGAGGTCGTGAAATTGAAGATTTGGTTGGTTTTACCGATAGTGATCTTGGAGGTGACCCTGTTGATAGCAAGAGCACAAGTGGAATGATTTTCTATCTGGGAAGGAATGCGATAACTTGGCAATCCCAAAAGCAAAAGACTGTTGCTTTGTCCACGTGTGAAGCCGAGTTCATGGCAGCTACAACAGCAGCATGTCAAGCCATTTGGCTTGCTAATCTCGTGAAGGAGCTCACAGGACATCATATTATGCCTATCACCTTATATGTCGATAACAAGTCAGTAATCGCATTGATGAAAAATCATGTGTTTCATGGTCGAAGAAAACACATTGACATTCGTTATCACTTCATACGAGAATGTGTTGAACGTGGGCAAATTATAGTGGAATATGTCAACTCGAAGGATCAACGGGCGGACATCTTTACAAAGGCTTTAGCATACGTGAAACATGGTGAAATGTGAAACATGATCGGAGTGACGAATCTCGAGCCAAGTTAGGTTTAAGGGGGAGAATGTGAGTGTAAACCTACTTGGGTGTGAACCTGCCATGAGTAGCTGTACCACCCTCTTTAGTTGACAAATGAATCCCTCCTTTGTTGACAATAAGAACTCAAATGGCAACTTCGTATGTTCACATAATGAACACAATAAATGGTAGCAGTAGTAATTGTAGGCTTGTTTAAGTATAAATAGAGGCTCTAACCTCAGTTGTAAGACACCACAAACAGAGAGTGTAGTGTGTAATACTTAGAGTGAGTATTAGAGGGTTGTTTCTTTTTCTTGTAATATTGAGCGTGTAAGCTCTTCTCTTTTGTTCTAGTTCTGAATAAAAGTGTGTTTCAACCCGAACAGTTGATGTTGTGTATGTTTAGTTTGTTTTCTTATTAGGGAGAAATCGTCATAGGGTAGAGATTGGAATCATGATACCCCCCTACTATGAAATCCTATATCCGCGCCGGGTGAGCATGGGTTGTTTAGCCTTTCACATGTGATTTGCATGACTAGGCTCTTTAACCCAGTCCAATTAGATGTACCATGGATTTAATATATTTATGGCTAATCGAAGATGGTAACTTAGGATTCCAAACATTTTTTTTTCATTAGACAGTGATTTTCAAAGATGATGCATAGTGCTTTACAAAAACTGTAAAGCCAAAGTAAATTAATATAGTCTTGGTCTTCTCCACCTACTAACGGTTTTGAACACCACAAGATTCCAAATATATGAAGCTCTGCAAAAATAAAATGAAAGCACAGAGGTTATGTTGATGGGTCGTAGGGTCCTCATTTGTCTTGGTAACAGCCAAAAAAAAAGAGTAAATTTAAAAGCCAGAAATTCTTGTACTCCTAAATTTAGTACCAAATTAAAATGAACTCTCGTATTGCTTTCCTCTTTTCTACTCTTGTTATTTTTCTGATTACCGCCTCCATTTCTGCTTCCAATGATGGTGGTAATGAGACCGATTATCAAGCTCTGTTGCAGTTCAAGTCAATGATCATGAATGAAGAAGGTCTAAGCTCATGGAACACTTCCTTTCATTTCTGTGATTGGAGTGGTGTTTCATGTCGGAAACAGAATAAAAGAGTCACTGCTCTAGTACTGAATTCACAAGGCCTACACGGCTCGTTGTCTCCTTATCTAGGGAACCTCAGCTTCCTTCGTGATCTTTATCTCAAGAATAACAGTTTTCAAGGTACGATCCCTCATGAACTCGGTCGTCTATCCAAGCTACGTTTTCTCCAACTTGGCTACAATAAATTCAACGGAGTCATTCCAACTAACCTGTCCCATTGTTCTAACCTTGAAGAGCTTGGACTCTATGCTAACAAGCTAGTTGGAAGCATACCCGAAGAGATCAGTTTCCTCTCCAAACTTACTTATCTTTCAGTTTATGATAATAACTTAACCGGTGGAATCCCGCCTGTTTTGGGGAATATAACATCAATGGAACTGTTCTCTGCTACAAGAAATCCGTTGGGTGGGAGCATTCCTGACACCTTAGGAAATTGGAAAATTTTAACAGAATTTTACCCTGGTGCTTGTACTTATCTGGAACCATCCCTCATTCCATTTTTAACCTCTCACTCCTAACTAATTTTTCCTCGCCTGTCAATCAGCTTACTGGTAGTCTTCCTTCAGCCATAGGTGAAATGCTCCCTCATCTTGAGTTCCTTCAATTACGCGGTAACAAACTGACCGGACCTATTCCACCCTCCATATCTACCTGTTCGAAGTTAAAATTTCTTGAATTGATGGATAACAATTTTAGGGGGAGGCTGAAAATTGACTTTGCAAAACTAAAAGATATATATTTTGTATCCTTGGGTAATAACATCTATGGATTTGGAGAAGCTGACGATATGAAGTTTATTGATACTTTGAAGAACTGCAGCAGAATAAAGGTGTTACATCTTAGTAACTGCAATTTTCAAGGAGTGCTGCCCACATCAATTGGTAATCTTTCTGATCAACTAAGTATTCTAAGTTTGGATGGAAATGATATATATGGAAACCTCCCTTCAAGTATAGGTAATCTGGTCGGCTTGATCGGTTTCTCTTTAACAGAAAACCAATTTATAGGAAAAATCACCTCCACCATTGGTAAGCTTCAAAACCTACAAGAAGCTTATTTATATAACAACCAATTTTCAGGGCCAATTCCAGATGCCATCGGGAACTTATCATTGTTGACTGGCCTTTGGTTAAATTCCAACAGATTGGAAGGACATATTCCATCAAGCCTGGGAAATTGTCATCATCTATTGGAGTTACACCTTGACGATAATAAACTCAGTGGAAAAATACCTACTCAACTTCTTCAACTTACATCTCTAACCATCATACTAAATCTTTCTCAAAACAACCTGTCTGGGTCACTTCCAGTAGAGGTTGGCGACCTCAAGATGTTGACTTATTTGGATTTATCTCATAATAATTTATCAGGTAAGATTCCTAATACCATTGGTAGTTGCACTAGCCTTTCATTTTTATCCCTCAAATGCAACTTGTTTCAAGGCATTGTATCACCAGCATTAAGTTCTATGAAAGGAGTTTCGACCCTCGATCTTTCTCATAATAATTTATCAGGCCAAATTCCTCGATTCTCAGAACAGTTCTCATTTGAATATGTAAACCTATCATTTAATGATTTTGAGGGTGAAGTACCGGTGCTAGGAGTTTTTGCCAATGCAAGGAAATTCTCTGTTTTGGGGAATAGCAGGCTTTGTGGTGGCTTGGCTGAGCTTGGGTTACCAAAATGCAAAGAGACAGAAAAACATCAAAAAAGGTTTCCTTTGTTCGTCATACTCATTCTAATTGCATCCACACTTTTCACTATATTATATTTTGCATTTGTTTTAAGTAAGCAAAGGAAGAGTCACCCGTCTTAATCATCGGGAGAAGAACGGTTCATGAAAGTATCATACAGTCAACTTCTCAAGGCTACCAATGGATTCTCCGAAGCCAATTTGATTGGCGAGGGTGGGTTTGGTTCTGTTTACAAAGGAGTCCTTGATGATCATGATGGTAGAATTGTTGCAGTCAAAGTTATACATCTGCAAAACCGAGGTGCCCACAGAAGCTTTAAAGCGGAGTGTGAAGCATGGCAGAGTATTCGACACCGGAATCTGTTGAAGATAATAACTTCATGTTCAAGTTGTTGTAAAATACGACGGATCCAAATTGACTTAAATAATATTAGCTCAATGCGGAATGGGATCAAAATTTATCAAAGCGTAATAATTACAACGTAATACGAATAAAATAAATAGAATAGAGACACAGGAATTTACGTGGAAACCCAAATCGGGAAAAAACCACGGGCGGAGGAAGCCGAGAAACAATTCACTATAATTTGCAGTGTTTACAGGGATTATGAAAGAGATTACAAATAGAGTGGGAGAGCTAAAATATACGGTGGTGTATCAGAATATATATATATATATATATATATATATATATATATATGTGTGTAATGCTTTACTATATATAATATATATATATATATATATATATATATATATATATATATATATATTTGATTTGGTTCGTGGGTTTTTTTTTTTTCAAGCCTTCTGGCTTAGGCTATTTATAGCCAAAAGAGAACATATGAAAAGAAAAGAAAAAGCCGTCCATAATTGTAGGCGAAGAAGAAGTTAGGCGCCCCACATGTAACTTACCGTCCATTCTCATTTTCAATTTCACACTTATATTACTATTCATAGTCAAACTATGAATAGTAAATGATAAGTTACAGAAATAACCCCTGAACTATTTGTCACTTGCTAATTTTGGAGGCAACTTTTCCACAATCTCCACCTTGACGTCAAAATTAAGCAAGTCATGCTTTACGATTAGTCAAAACATATAGCTCATCAAACTCTAAAACTTCCATAAGAACCTGCAAATTTTATATAGAGAAAATTTTTTTCCGAAAAATAAATAATACTTCCTCCACCTACGAGCCTTCAGGCTCAACTGCGATCAGAAACACCCGCCATGTCCAAACATAATTTGAACTTGGCTATAGGAAGACTTTTAGTGAACATATCAGCGGGATTATAATCTGTATGAATCTTGTCCACAACACAATCACCTTTTTCAATGATATCCCGCACAAAATGATAACGAATATCAATATGCTTTGTTCGGTCATGAAACATTTGATCTTTACTCAAGAAGATAGCACTCTGGTTGTCACAGAAAACTGTGGTCACCTTTATTCTATCATCGAGTTCTCCAAATAACCCCTTCAACCAGATATCTTCCTTAACTGCTTCTGTAATCGCCATGTACTCTGCCTCGGTAGAAGACAGGGCAACTGTAGACTGTAACTGGGCTTTCCAACTAACAGCACAACCATTTAGAGTAAACACATACCCTGTAATTGATCTTCATTTATCCAAATCTTTGCCATAATCTGAATCAACATATCCGAACACCCCAGTGTTAGATTTACCAAAACTTAAACACATAGAAGACGTACCGCGTAAATAACGAAAAATCCACTGTACTGCTTTCCAGTGTTCTTTCCCCGGGTTCGCCATGTATCTACTAACCATGCTAACAGCATAAGCCAAATCAGGGCGCGTGCAGATCATAGCATACATCAAAGATCCAACAGCACTAGAGTATGGAACACGTGCCATGTAAGCCATATCAGTCTCATTAGTAGGACTCAAAGCGGATGATAGCTTGAAATGAGCTGCAAAAGGTGTGTTGACAAACTTTGCTTCGTGCATACTGAAGCGTCTTAGGACTTTCTCAATATAACTTTTCTGAGAAAGATGCAAGATCCTAGACTTCCTGTCACGAATAATTTCCATACCTAAAATCTTTTTGGCAGCTCCTAAGTCCTTCATTTCAAATTCAGCTTTCAACTGGTCTTTTAACTTCTGAATCTCCTTCATATCTTTCGCTGCAATCAACATGTCATCCACGTACAAGAGTAAGTAGATCTTTGAACCATTGTCACCTTTCTTGAAATAAACGCAGCTATCATAGGTGCACCTGCTGAATTTGTGACTGGTCATGAAAGAATCGAACCTCTTGTACCATTGTCTAGGAGACTGCTTGAGGCCATAAAGAGATTTATTCAACTTGCATACGTAGTTCTCCTTTCCAGGAACTACAAAACCTTCAGGTTGTTGCATAAAAATCTCTTCCTCAAGCTCACCATTTAGGAAAGCTGTAGTGACATCAAGTTGTTCTAACTCAAAATCATTAGAAGCAACCAACCCCAACAATACACGAATGGAAGTATGTTTGACAACTGGGGAATAAATTTCAGTGTAATCAATACCAGGAATCTGACTGTAGCCTTTAGCTACTAACCGAGCTTTGTATCTTGGTTTATCATTTAGGTTGACAGGTTCCTTGAGCTTGTAGACCCACTTGCATTTAACTGGTCTCTTCCCTTTCGGAATAGGAACTAAATTCCAAGTACTGTTTCGCTGCAAGGATTCCATCTCATTTTGCATAGCGAGCATCCAATCATTTGAGTCTTCAGATTTGATAGCCTCGTCATAATTTGCAGGCTCCGTTGCAGACTCAATATTATCAGCAACAATAAAAGCATAGGCAACCAAATCAGATTCAGCATACCTCTTCGGAGGAATAATCTGTCTTCTCGGTCTATCTCTTGCAATGCTTGGAGTAGTAGCTTGTGGTTGTGAAGGTGTTGAATCTTCACCAACAACATGCTCATCCGACGAAGAAGAATCTTGATGCTGATTTGTACTCTGATTAGTGGTAGGTGAAGTAGGAAGCTCCACCTCCATTTGAGCATTCTCTTTATTTGCTTCGGATGATACATCTGATGCATCTGTTCTTTTAGAAGAGTCAGCAACTGGTTGAAATATAGCAGACTCATCAAAAGTAACATCTCTTGAGATGATAATTTTCTTCAAATCAAAGCTCCATAACTTGTAACCCTTTACACCTTGATTGTACCCAAGAAAAACGCATTTGATTGCTCTTGGTTCTAGCTTCCCATTGTCAACCCGTGCATATGCTGGACATCCGAATGGTTTTAAATCTGAATAATTTGCAGGTTTACCGGACCATAATTCAAACGGAGTTTTCTTCTCGATTGCTCGTGACGGTGATCGGTTGATAACATAGCAAGCAGTCGAAGCAGCCTCCGCCCAAAAAGACTTTGGCAATTTGGAATTAGAAAGCATACACCAGACCTTCTCCATAATGGTGCGATTCATCCTTTCAGCTACACCATTTTGTTGAGGTGAATAGACTACTGTGCGATGTCGAGTAATGCCTTCCTTTTGACAATAGACATTAAACTCTTCTGAGCAAAACTCAAGTCCATTATCCGTACGAAGATACTTTACCACCAGACCTGATTGCTTTTCAACCTGAACTTTCCAATTTCTGAAGGTAGAGAAAACGTCTCCTTTATTTTTTAAGAAGAAAGACCACACCATCCTGGAGAAATCATCAATAATAGTGAGCATATAAATAGCTCCACCTTTTGAAGAAACTCGAGCCGGTCCCCACAAATCCGAGTGAACATAATCAAGTGGTCCTTTCGTTGTATGGATACCACTTGCAAACCTCACTCGTTTTGCCTTGCCATATACACAGTCTTCACAGAAATCCAAATCAACAATCTTTTGTTGACCAAGTAAACCTCTTCGACTCAATTTTGACATGCCTTGAAAACTCATATGGCCGAGTCGAAGGTGCCAAAGACGGGACTGATCTGGATCATAAAAAAAACTTTGACACAACAGCAGCATCACTCGAAATTGTTTGCCCGTCAAGAAAGTAAAGATCTGAGGTTTTTCGTTCGGCTCTCAGTTTGTCGGAACCGTCTTTGAATACCCTGAGAACTCCACCTTTACCAGCAAACTCGTATCCCTTTTTGTCAAAGGAACTGAGAGATAACAAGTTTCTTCTGAGGTCAGGAACATATCTAACATCCCCCATGGTTCGAATAACTCCGTCAAACATACGGATCCTGACTGAACCATGTCCAAGAACTGGACATGTAGTATTGTTACCCATCAACACATAGCCCTGGTTAACCTTTTCAAATGTGTAAAACCAACTTTTGTTGTGACACATATGAAAAGTACAACCAGAGTCGAGTATCCAATCACCAGTGGAATCCAGTTTATCTGAATAAACTGTCAAAAGTTCTCCAATACCTTCGACCTCAGCTAGATCGGCTTCACCCGAAGTGCTAGCTTGTTTACCATTTGCTGCCGTCTTCTCTTTTTCTTTATTCTTCAACTTGAAGCATTCTTCAAGCACATGTCCCTTCTTGTGACAATAGTTGCAAAACTTTCGTTTGCCTTTTGACTTGGATCTGGTTCTGTTGGAAGATTGAGAAGTTCTACTTCTCTCTGTTGTTCTTCCTCTGGCATTCAAACCTTCGGCTTTAGCATCACTTGAACCACCACCAGTAATATGCTTCATCTTCTCTTTTGAATCCAAAGCTGTATAGACTTCATCTAAAACTAGAGTGTCACGGCTATAGATAATAGTATCACGAAAATGGCTATAGGATTCTGGCAACGACGATAGTAAGAATAGAGCCAAGTCTTCATCTTCATACTGAACATCCATATTCTCTAAGTTATTTACTAACTCTTTAAATGTGGATATATGTTCAGTTAAAGAGCCTCCTTCAATCATCTTGAGATTGAACAACCGTTGCTTCAAATGCAACTTGTTTGGTAAGCTCTTGGTCATCAACAGTTGTTCCAACTTTAGCCATAAAGAAGCCGCTGACGTTTCTTTTAGAACATCTTGCAAAACATCGTTTGACAAGTGCAAACGAATTTGGGATAAAGCCTTCAGATCTTTCATCTCCTTTTCTTCTTCGGTCCATGTATCGGGCATCTTATTGAAACCCAAGAGCGCCTTGTGTAAATCCATCTGAATGAGAATGTCTCTCATCTTTACTTGCCACAACGGAAATCGGGTGTTACGATCCAGTAGTGGAATATCGTATTTTACCGAAGACATGATTAATTACTTGATAAAATAATCCCAACGAGCTAATATCACAACCCGGATGCTCTGATACCAATTGTTGTAAAATACGACGGATCCAAATTGACTTAAATAATATTAGCTCAATGCGGAATGGGATCAAAAATTATCAAAGCGTAATAATCACAACGTAATACGAATAAAATAAATAGAATAGAGACACAGGAATTTACGTGGAAACCCAAATCGGGAAAAAACCACGGGCGGAGGAAGCCGAGAAACAATTCACTATAATTTACAGTGTTTACAGGAATTATGAAAGAGATTACAAATAGAGTGGGAGAGCTAAAATATACGGTGGTGTATCAGAATATATATATATATGTGTAATGCTTTACTATACATATATTATATATATATATATATATATATATATATATATATATATATATATTTGATTTGGTTCGTGGGGGTTTTTTTTTTTTCAAGCCTTCTGACTTAGGCTATTTATAGCCAAAAGAGAACATATGAAAAGGAAAGAAAAAGTCGTCCATAATTGTAGGCGAAGAAGAAGTTAGGCGCCCCACATGTAACTTACCGTCCATTCTCATTTTCAATTTCACACTTATATTACTATTCATAGTCAAACTATGAATAGTAAATGATAAGTTACAGAAATAACCCCTGAACTATTTGTCACTTGCTAATTTTGGAGGCAACTTTTCCACACAAGTGTTGACTTTCAAGGCAATGATTTCAAAGCTTTGATATACGAGTTCATGCCCAATGGGAGTTTACATGATTGGTTGCACTCAAGTGCAAGTAATTCCAGGTTCAACCTTCTTCAAAGAATAAATATTCTCATTGATGTCGCATATGCACTCGATTATCTTCACAATCACTGTCTCCCAAGCATCGTTCATTGTGACCTAAAGCCTAGCAACATTCTACTTGACGATGATATGGTGGCCCATGTTGGAGACTTTGGTTTAGCTCGATTTCTTGGAACAAATTCAAACAAAAACAGCACAAGTGGCATTAGAGGAACAATTGGGTATGCACCTCCAGGTAAAGTCCATTTATTCCCACATGCTCATATTTATTTGTAGTATATTACCTTTTATTAAAGTAATTGCTTATAAGTTCAGAGTATGGTGTTGGGAGTGAGATGACGAGTAGTGGGGATGTCTATAGTTTTGGAATATTATTATTGGAGGTGATGACAGGGAAGAGGCCCACAGACAACATCTTTAATGAAAGCCTTAACCTTCGTAAGTTTGCAGACATGGCCTTGCCGGACCATGTAACAAATGTCATTGATGACGACCTGCAGAATTTTCTTCAAGAGGATGCTATTGCTACAAAACATACAATAGAAAATGCAAAGAAAATGGAGGAATGTTTGGCTTCAATTATCAAGCTTGGAGTATCATGCTCCGTGGATTCCCCACCACAACGGATAAATATCGCAAATGTTGTCCATGAGTTGCAGCATATTTTAAATACACTTTAAAATATGTGAGGTATCATGTTAATAAATAGTGTGTATTGATTGTTAAATATGGATGTATATTGAGTATTTGGAGAATCTTGTATTTTGATGGTATAAAATATGAAATAAATTGATTGAATGCCTTATTTTGAAAATATGGTGGTCTTTTACAAAAATTAACTTTTGGGTTCATTTGAAAGAATGAAATTTTTGGGGGGTCATGTTGTAAATCTTAGAAGTTTGAAGATGTGTGCACGGTGTTTATATGAAATCAAGTATAGTGAGGATCTTAAAAGAATTCAAGTACAAATTGAGTAATTATTAAACATTAAGAACCATTTCTGTGCAGAAATCGATTGGATTAGGGTTGTGGAATTGATTAAGAGATAGAGTTCGTGGTCAAAGGTTTGAGGTATGTGCAACGTGTTTATATGGACCGATTCCATAATCCATTAGATTCCACCCACACCCACACCACAAAATTCCAAAATCCATGGCCTTCCCGTTTTCAATTTCGTTCCCAAGCATATGTTTGTGGCGTTTATATGGTTTTTTAGTTTGCATGAATTCGTTGGACTTCTCATCACCATATATCAAGTTCTGAAAATTTTCAATTTCGTTCCCAAGCACATGTTTGTGGCGTTTATGTGGTTTTTTGATTTGCATGAATTCGTTGGACTTCTCATCACCATATATCAAGTTCTGAAGAAAGAAAATGAATGGGCAGGGGTTATATATGTTGATGGGACGTGGGGTCCTCAATTTGGATAAGGAATTAATGAGTTTGTGGATGACGTTGATTTTACTATTACATTAACATGCAAACCTTGGGATAAATTTAAAAACCAGCAATGCTAGAGATCAGATCGCAGTAACACTGATTTGCGGCAAATAGAAGTTAGTCTTTTGATGAGGTAAATTGGATAGGTATAAACAAAAGGGAAGACATGCTGACAAGGTACTGACCGAGGGTTCTAAAGCTTAGTCATCATTTGTGTCCAAAAACCATCACTAACCCATTGCTATCAGTTTCTTCCATAGTATTTCACAATCTTTTAAGTATTAAAAATATAAAATGGAACTATTTCATCTGAAAGATATTAAGTTCGTCCCACCTTAACAACAACTACCACATGCTACAAAGGGCGTTTTCAAGTGTAAAACTATATTTAGGTCAAAATCTGACTAATTTGACAACAAAATCCCAGATTTTATAAATTTCAAAAAGATAATGATTCATATCCCTTCATAATCATTGTACTCCTATCACATTACATCATCTTTCAAATTTCAACAAAAAATTTCGATTAACAATAAGTTAGGTGTTGTTTGTTTTTTGGAAGCGAAAATTCAAAAAGTCTACGGACCACCTCTGCAACCTTCTGCAGTAGAAGAGGTGGACCAAAAGGCTGCAACTTGAATAAGAAGTTTGTTTGTTTTTTAACCTATGCAGACTGTTGCAATAAACTGAAATTTAAATAAATTATTTTTACAAAATTAAAAAAGTTTTTCAAAACAAAAAATTTAATAATTTTAGTCTTGAACATTGAAATTAAATTCATTACATTTTTTATAAAAACATTCAATACTATTAAATACTATTTACAAATTAAATGAATTAACATTAAAATCACATTGTTTTAGCTAAATAACGTCCTTATGAATTGCTTCAAACTCCTCTTGATTTGTAGCTCCTTCACAAAAACTTGATTCAACACTTGGAGCTAGGGCTGTTCACTATTTGGATAAAACAGAATTGTCCAATTGGACTATTTGGTTCGGATATTCGGATTTTTGGATTGGTTTTCAACAAAACCGAATTATTATTTTGTATTTCGGATTGGTTTGGTTTATAAAATAAGAACCGAATAATCCAAAAAGGCTGAATAACAATTTATTATGTATTTATTTTTAATATATCTATAATTATTTATTAATTTAATAATTTGTTTTTTCAAATAAGTTCAAAAAGTTTTACCTAATAAAAAACATTAATATATACTTTCTCTCAATAGTTTTTTATCTATTAAATATTAAACTATAATATACCTTCTTAGTAGTTGTTTATAAATTTTAAATCACAACTAAATAATTTGTTTTTGCTTCTTCTATAAAAATTAGATAATATTATAATTATATGTCGTTTTAAAATGTTTTGGTTTTTGAAAACCGAATTATAAAACCGATCCAACCAAATTGTAATTAGATCGGATCGGATTTGAATTTAGTTTGAACTATTCGGATCCATATTTTGAAAACTGAAATCAATTTGGATTTACTTCATTCGATCGGATCAAACCGATCCATCCAAACGAACACCCCTACTTGGAGTAACATTCTCTTGGCTCCTCTTTGCCTTTGATTCACCTGCTTCACAAATACAAGTATGATTTCAAAGAACATAAATAAATCACATTTTTATCGGCATACTTCTAATTACAAGCATATACCATTTGACCATTTTTATTTGTTACTAGAGATGTGCAAGACCAAACGAAATGCTATTAACTTAAACTTCAATATTCTCTTAAGTATTTCATCGAGCACCTGTAGTGCACAACTTGTTTCCCTCTTAAATTATTACCACTAGATGTATATTATCCATCCCACTGTTTAGACATCCAATTCAGTAAAGAAATGAAACATATACATGGTTTGAAGCAAATCAGAATAACAAAAATCAGACTTTTCATTGACATGCATCAAATCAAAATAAACTTACAAGAAAATCAGCATAAACTTGACCGCATAAACATATAAATGTTGCTGATTTCAGCAAGAAAATCAGAAGAACAATTGATTTCAAGAACATATAACAACAACTGATTTCATAAACATATAAATATTGTTGAAAAGAACAACTGATTTCAACAACAGCTGTCAATTTCAAGAACTAAATCAAAAGAAGAAACATACATGTTGGAGCAGCGATGTGAGATGGGAGCAGTGAACATAAAATCAGTGAGGGTGGAGCATAAAATCGGCTAAGGTGGAGTAGCCATGGCGACCTGCGACGTGTGAGGTGTTGCGACGACTCGATGGGAAAGGAAGAACGATGGGAGATGGAATGAGCGATGTTTTTTTTCAATATTATGTCCGGTTCTTTTTTTTTTCTTTTAGGTTTAGGTTAGGAAGAGATGAGAAGAGGCAAGGCCAATGTTGTATGTGGAAGAGGACGAGAAGAGGTTTTTGAGCCTAAAGCCGTTTAAAAAACAAACTGCTGCAAAATCAAAAATGTTGCGTATGTGCTGCGTCGCGCAGCAATAAGTAGTAAGAAGAGGTTTTTTTACAAAAAAAACGAACAACACCTTAGCTAACATCATACATACAACATGTAACATCCATAAAAATTCACAAAATTTTCAACTTTTTCAAACATTCAAAATCCACCACCCAATACAAAATTGTTTTCAAAAGAGTAAAACATCAGAGTATCCCAGAAATCAAAATCATAATATGTGAGGAAGTGTACGATCACGCCTTTTCCTTCCCGCGATCATCCAAAGTACCTGAAACAATAATTCATAAATGTAAGCTCGAAGGCTTAGTGAGTTACCCCCAAAATACCAACGCCATACAACAAAACCATATCATAATCAAACAGTATGCATACAAAGTCTTCAGTATGACTGGACCGCCTGCATTGGGCCTTCAGTCTATCTGGCCCACTCTCAGAACCTTCAGCATGTCTGGTCCGCCCTACCAGGCCTTCAACCTGTCTGGACCGTTCTCCGGGCCTTCGGCCTGACTGGTACACCCCGTTGGGCCTTCACTCTATTCGGGCCGCCCTGGGTTTGTTAGCCTTTAGCACAAAGCAGGATCGCATCAACCCACCTGCAATCACACAATCACATATAGATATCAAACGCTAGCTAGCATACACAGACAGACATACAGATCTAACAGATCACTAATCATAGCATCATCCTATATCCAGGATACAGATCTAACAGATCACTAAGCATAACACCATCCTACGTACCAGGATGCAGATCTAACAGATCATTAATCATATCATCAAACGATAAACCAGGATACAGTGCATAAAGACTGACCTTGATGTCGTAGACCCTATCAGTATAGTGAGGAGAACTCACCTCACATTGTGGAACTAAGCTGAAAAGATCAAACTCCCGAACCACAGCTACGAACTCAAACACGTACAACCACCATAGAACCAATTCCATCAAGATCCCAAATTACTAAAATATCCCCGAAAGTCAAACTTTGTCAACCCTTGGTCAAAGTCAAAGTCAAAGTCAACAGTCAAGGTCAACAGTCCATGTTGACCCAACTCGTCGAGTGCATCTAGCAACTCGTCAAGTTCCTTCAGAACTCAGAAAACCACTAAAACCTAGTTCAACTCGCCGAGTTTTCAAAACAACTCGTCGAGTCCATGTAGTGTCCACAAGATCGGGAAAAACACTAACCAACTCATCGAGTCATCTCACCGACTCGTCGAGTTTACTCAGAATCCAGAAAGCAGGAAAACCCTATCCAACTCGTTGAGTTGGCTAAGCAACTCGTCGAGTTCCTTCAGCCATTTTCTCATTCAGACGCTTTTAATCGAAACCAAGGCTCCAAACTGTAGATCTAGTCTTCTAAGGCTGAGATACTACGTAAAGCTGCAGGCTTTACGTCCATGCATGTCATTAAGGGGGCTATTTTTCTAAAACGAGTCTTAACAAGGGGTTTAAGGCATGGAAGTTGGCTAAAGCTTGATAAAGCTTGAGTCTTTAGGCCTAAGGGGCCTAGTAGTGTCCAGATCTGAAGTCTTAGCTTCAAAGCATGCTCAAAACCAAGAATGACTTAAGAAGAAGCTAGAAATGACCATAAACTCTCTAATGGAGAGATCTAACAAACAAGTGATCAAGGTAGAGGCTTTTTACCTTCAAATGGTTGCTACAACTAAGTAGATGCCGGATCTATAGACTCATTCTCGTTCCAAGCTCTTAAATCTTCGAGTTTCCTTCCACAAGAGCACCAAAATCACCTTCCAAGCTTTTACACACACACACCAC